TTTTCTACAGTAGCAATTTTTAATTGTTTATTACTATAATAGAGAAACCTAGTTGATATTTGTATTGACCTTACATATAGTGGTAAACTAATATATTAATTCTCATAGCTCTTGTGTACATAACTTAGTGTTTTCTACAGTGTTACTTTTTCCTCATGCTTTTAATTTCTTCCTTTTTATTTCAAAGTAATGCCAAACATAGAAGCTGCTGTGACGTGTAAAGAACTCCCATATGGTCTTCACTCTGAAAACCCATTTACTTTTGTTAACCTGAGAGTATCTTTCAGGACAGAAGAATTAAACCAAGACTACACATACTGTTTGTCATACACCTCCGGTCTCCTTCTTTAGGAGCATTTCTTAGTCCTCCTCTGACCTTCATATCTGAAAACTTTTGACGGTGATAAACCATTTCTTTTATAGGATATTCCTCAATTTGGGGCTGCCTGATGTTTCTGCATGATAAGACTCGGGATCTGAGTTTCTGGGCAGAAATACTGCAGACATGATGCTACAGCACCTGTGGTTGATTCGTTCTATCCTTAGTGACATTAATGACAAGACAAATCAGCTCAGACCCTTCCCTGTTGGTAGCAGAGTTGAAAGCTGGCTAAGGTGGACCAGGCAGGGGGTGGGGAGTATTCCTGGTGAGCAAGGCTGCTCCAGGGCAGACCTGGCCCTCGGTGCGCACAGTCCCTAGCACTGCACACAGGCTCCCCCGGATGTGTTTGTCTTAGAGGAACTGGAATGCCTAACTCCAGCTAGGCTAGCACATAAACATGGAACCCTGTGGGGATGCACCTCTGTCCTGCTATGGCTGGGCGCACCTGTGCTCGGGCTGTGCTGTGTACTGATGAGAACTTGGGGAGAAGCGTAGCCTCCACCTATCTGCGTCAGCTGCCTCCAGGGAAACTGCAGAATAGCTACACCTCTCACCTCTCACTTAGAAACTGATACTGCCAAGCTGGACAATGTGACCCTTGTAGGATATGTGTGCAACTCTCTCCCAAGACAGTTATCTTTAGTTTCTGGGATAGGGTGGTCACTGTTAGATTTTTCTCGTTACATTCTCATGTGTTGAGGAAGAACTTTATGAGGGAACTTCCTTGTCTAACTTGCTTGGGCCAGATTTAGAAAACACTGTTCTTTCTTGTCTGATAACCGCCAAATGGTAATTTTAGAAGTCAATTATTTTTTCTAAACTTATCACAATATGTTTCTCTTATTTATTATTTTACTTATTAAACTCATGACCTCACATATTTATTCATTTTTATATCAGTGTGGACTCATGGATTTCTAAAAAAAAAAATACAGGGGCTGGGGATTTAGCTCAGCAGCATAAGCGCCTGCCTTGCAAGCAGGCAGTCATGAGTTCGATCCCCAGTACTGGTAAAAAGGAAAAAGAAAAAAAAAAAATACAAATTAGCTCAGAGGAAATGCATGCCACATAGTATTGTATCATTGCTTACATCAGCTCTGAGGTTTCTAGTGCTCCAAAGTGTGAAAACCTACTCCTTACATGATTTTATTTCACCAGATTCAAAACAAACCAGCACATAGAACATGAAAATATAGACACCTGGCATGCAGCAAAGTACTCACCAACAGTCAACAAAGGGGCACCTATGTAGTGGTCAGAAAGGAAGGTAGTTTGGAATGTCTTATCCCTATATAGTGAACAGTTCCAAGTGGATCAATCACTAATTGTGGAGGACTGAAACTCTACCTGCCCAGCAGCAGGGAAATGGTCAGCTGGGACATATCCCAGCAGTAAAAGGTTATGGAGTCTGAAACAGAAAAAACAGCAGGGATGCTGAGACTCCTCTAGATACATTAAGTAAAAAGAAAAACAGTACAGTAAATCTGTTAATGCTGCATTTTTGTAAACAAGGAATATGAAGAATAAATGCACTGGCTTATTTATGCATTCAGAGTCTTGAAGAATAAGCAGGAAACAATGGTTACCTGTTTGGGCCTGAGGACTAGGTTGGGGGAGAGGCTTTTTTCAGTGTGTATTTTTCACCGGCGCTGATCATAATCCTGAGAGATACAATCCCAAATGCTATAATTCTGAGGTCTGAAATCTCAAAAGGTTAAACTCTCTAAAGTCCAAAACCTTGAAACTCACAATCAGTAACGATGAAAATTCTCAATGTTGAAATCCTAGAAGCCTTAATCCCACTGGAAAAAAACAAAAGGACTGGAAAATTGAATCTGGGGAAGAAACTGGAGCATTGTGGTTGTACAGTCTAGCTGCCTCCTGTTAGCTAGACGGGAACCTGGAAAGGTGGTAAAATATTATTTTGGGTGCATGAGTGATGGTGTTTCGTTAGGAGACTGGCATATGAACCTGAGTAGATTAGGTGAGGAAGAGCCTCTCTACGGCTGTGATTATGGAAAGCGATGCCCTTGGGATTGAGCCGTTCAGGAGATTGTTCATTCAGAGGCAACCGATGCGACTTTATTTTTCAGTACTGGAAATGAACCCTAGCTCTTTTTTTATTTTATATCAGGGTCTAAGTTGACCAGGATGGATTTGAACTGTGATCCTCCTGCTTCAGCCTCCTAGAATGCTGAGATTACAGATGTGTGGCACCATGCCTGGCTCGATTGTAATTTTTGATTGATCTCATGAAGAGACTCGGGTTATCCTTTGTAGTACAGTACTCCAAATGACCAGTGGTAAAGCTGGGTGCCCATCTTTGTCTAGGGTGGTCCACTGTTATGAGTATTCCTGAGGGTTCATGCTTACAAGAATGTTATTTTTGGGGCCAGGGCTTTAGCTCAGTGGTGTAAGTGCCTGCTTGGCAAATGTGAGGTCATGAGTTCAATCCCCAGCACACACACACACACCCACCACGTTATTATTTCCTGTTTTACCAGGTGAAGTGTCCTGTGAAGTTTTCTGTTGTGTATTAAATTCTCTTTAAAAATGTAAACAAATATCTTTAAAAGCTTTAAAAATTATTTTTTTCCAGAATTTTTTTTTTAGGGACGGGTATTTTGACCTTTCAGGAATTTTAGATTTCAAGCACTTTTGATCTCCTGAGATTTCAGCATTATTTATTTGGGACTCTGCCTTTGAGATTATGCTCCAAACCCACCGTTCCTATTCTTTCTTGATTCAGTATTCTTTTTTTCTCAGTGTATCTATCTTGATATCATGATAGTAGTATATTTATTAAATGCTACTTATTTTAAAAGTAGTGAAAATCAGACAGACCTGCAAATGGAGCCACCCAATGGCTCTCCACGGACTGTGAGGACTCCAGGGCTGGCCGCAGGTTTGCTGTCCTCTGTACCCCAGTGCGCCCCAGCTTCTACAGGATTAGCTCCCGAGTGCTTTACCATTCGCCGAGGTGATCTGTTGCCTTTATTTCTTGACATATAATAAAATTATTTTCCAGAAGAAAATAATTCTGGAAAATAATTTTCGATGGGGGTCCATCAAAAATTTCTCTCACTTTCAGGGGCTGGGGATTTAGTTCAGCGGCATAAGCGCCTGCTTTGCAAGCAGGCAGTCGTGAGTTCGATCCCTGGTACCGATTTAAAAAAAAAAAAAAAACTCTCACTTTCTCCCTAATTTTGCCCATGAGGACTTTATGTTTGGGTGAAATTTCAATGAAATGAGATAAATATCTGATCAAAATTTGAGGACATCAGTCTTTGTTTTAGGTTTAAATCTCTGTTGTTTACTTACTAGCTTCAACAAGTTCAATAACTTGTTGAAAGTTATTCAGTTTCCCCATCCGTTGCAAGGCAGACGGCAGCTATGCGGGGCTTAACGTTTTTCTGGCACTGAGATTAGAAAAAAGAAACACAGAACTAGTACTTACCCCGCTATATCAAACCATTAGCACTTCAACTTGTAACAAGTTGAAAATTATTAGTGAGTGAGTTTAAATTCTTTTTGGGGGAAAGAACACAGCAATCTTATCCCGGATAAGCTACATTTGCGTGCTCAGCGGCCTCATGGCGTTGGAAGCCTGGGGGCCCTCCGTGGCTTAGCCCCCCACAGGACGCAGTGCATCCCGGGTGCAGCCCCCAAGGGCCGCTGCTTCCAAACCTCGACTAGAGTGAAGCAGTCCATCGGGGCCTTTGGAAGAGATGCCCATTCTGGGGTAAATTATGTCAGGCCAGGCACTTCACAAGGTAGGGTAGAAGGTCCCAATCTCTGTAAATTAACAACTGCATAGCTGGGCCCACCAGGCTGCCAACCCCCATGCGGATCTATTTCTTGCTGTTATCCCAGGTCTGGGAGGTGTTTATTTCCCACAGAGGCCTCTGCACCAGGAAGTCTGGGGAGAGCAGTACAGGAAAGGTCTTTAAAAGCTTTAAAAATCAGTTTTTTCCAGAAATTTTAAAAAGGGGTGGTGGAATTTTTCTCCTTTAAATAAAATGGATTTGGAAAAAAAAGGGAGGGTTGGTGGTGGTGTGGTGGATCAGGAGCAGCAAGCCTGTTAATCTCAGCACTCTGGGAGGCTGAGGCAGGAGGATCTAAATTGAAGCCCATCCTGGATAATTTAGTGAGATTTTGTTACAAAATAAAGAAGGGCTAGGGATGCAGCTCAGTGCAAAGGAAGGACCTTGATTCAATCTCCCACCACTACCCCGGGGTTAAAAAAACAAAAAAGCTGCGGCGGTCAGCGGTCCCAACTACGCAGAGAACAATTACGAAGGCGGGGAAGGGCCTCACCGAGGGTGCGGTGGAGGCCACAAGATGCCACCCAAAAGGGAGACAAGGTCTGAAGGGCGGGAGAGCTCGCCAGGAGCAGCTGCAGGCCTCCGCGCGCGGCCTGCACAGGGCCGCAGAGACCCCGGGCGACTGGCTGAGCGACTACGTTCGGGTCCCCGCGCCGGGCCGCCAACACTGCCTCGGCCTCCTGGCCCGCGTCCGCTGTCTCCCGGCTCCTGAGTGGCTGGGTGGCCGGGGTTAACCTTTCACCGCAGCGCCCCGTCCAATCAGAGCCTGGCTCTCATGCCGCCGCAGGCCGACCGGGCGTGGGGCGCGGAGCTGCGGCGCGGCGCGGCTGGGATTCTCCAAGCGGCCGTGCGCCGTTGCCGCGGGCTGTGCACGGGCCGCGGGCGAGCCGGGCGCTGCGCAGTCTCCGCAGGCGCCGCCGGGAGGGGTCGGGGCGCGGCGCGGCGCGGCGCGGGCGGCTCCGGGCCCAGGTGAATGGAGTAGCCTGACAGCGCGGACAAGGCGACGGCGAGCGGCAGGAAATGGCGGCGGCGGCGGCGGCGCCGGGCGGCACCGAGAGGCCTGGGCTGTGACGCGCGCGCCGGAGCGGGGTCCGATGGTTCTGGAAGGCCCGCGGCGCCCCGTGCTGCAGGTGAGGCGGCCGGGCGGGCGGGCCGCGGCGCTTTGTAGCCGGGCGGGGCGGAGGCGAGGTCGGCGTGGGCGCGGGGCCGGGCCGCAGGCCGCAGGGGAGCCCGGGCCGCGGGCGCAGATGGCGCGGCCTCGTGGGCAGGGCCTGCGCCGGGACCTCGGCGGCCGCGGGCTGCGGGGCGCAGGGCCACCCGGGCAGGAGGAGCCGGGCTGCTGACAGGTCCTCGCGGGCCTGGCATCCCGGGCCTGCGCCCACCGTGCGGGTCGCCGCGCGGGCCTGCGTTCCCTGCGCGGGGCGGGAGCTCGCGTGTTCCCGGGTGGGTGGCCGAGCTGGCCGGGGGGCGGGGGGCAGGCGCCCCAGGCCGTCGTTTCGCCCCTCCCCTGGATGTTTTCGTGCCTGGACCCTGGCGAGAGCCTCTTTTAAGGACCTTTTGAGTCTGGGGAAAATCAGTGTCTGTTGTGGGTCACCACGTCTGATTTATGGGGTTTGTCTAATAAGGCCGAGCAGCACTTACCTGCAGGACACAGGTAGTGTCCTGAAGACTTGCCAAAATCGCTGGGTGGGGAGTCCTGGCTCTAGTGATTAGTCTTTGCTCTCCGGAGGAAAGTTGTGGTTAAAGGATGAGTTACTGATGGCCCAAGACTTAAGTGTTTTTATGGTGGTCGGATTCTGAAAATCTTCATTTGATTGAAGTCGGTAACTTGGGAGTCAGTGTTTCTGTTTGCAGGGTTTCTGAATCTTTACAATCCTGATTGTTAGTTGTCTTGTTTTCAGATGCCTCACAGGCTGTAGAAAAGGGCTCAAGTTAGAACTTAAGCAACTTAGAAAATATTTTTTTAAAATGTGCATTGTATAGTTAACTAAGTTGCAAGTGTATTGCTACAGTTGTTACACTTTTAAGCGAAAATACTCATTTGTAACCAAGAGCTCAATTTATTAAAAGATGGGTTTTGGATGAGTCTCCTAGAAAGTAGAAATTTTCTACTTTAATATCTTTGAGAAATGGGTTCTGGAATGATCAGTGTATTTTGCAAAATGTCTTTTAAGCTAACTGTGGTGTGCGCGTGGTATTTGTAATATATGCAGAATAGTTACATATATATTTTTATATACTGTCAATAGAAAACACCACTAAAGATTGCTTTCGATCTGGTAACTGGAAGCATGGAGGGTGTGACACAGGTCTGTGGATTTACCCATGACATCAAAATACTGATTTAAGAAAAGATAAATTAGTTTATCTTAACTTGGGAATAAGAGACCTTTTCTTGCAAGAGTTTTATTTACTTTCTTTGCTGCCCAGTCTTTATATAAAGGTTCAGTTCTGAATACGGTACTATGCCTGTGACTGTATGAGTTGTACAGCTCGATTATTTTGCTAATCTTGAGTTCCATTGTTTTAGTTTTAGAAGACATTTTGATGTCATGATGCCATGATTCCTGATAGTGATTTTTGTGGTGTTACATATCATGAGTAACACTTTCTAAGGAGCATAATATTTATGGTATTGAGCTTTTTTATTCTCTGCCAGTCTGAGGTGTAAGATGCTTGTTTCATGTAACAAAGTATATATTTCTCTCAATTGTGACCTTAACATGTTTCTTGTGCTAGAGGAAATGGAAGAAACATTTGAGTGCCTCCTTAATATGTATGGAGATGTGTCAGATTCTCTACATCCATTCTCAGTTCTCTCTGTAACCCTGAGACAGTCTCACTATTGTCCTTATTTTACAGGCAAGGAGACTGAGCCTCGGTGATCATTGCTCAGAGTTGTGAATCTAGAAATACCACAGTCACGACTGAATTATGGTTTGACTTTAGAGTCCTTGCATGCATGCTCTTTGCTTTGCACTGCTCTGCCAAGTAGAGGTTAGGAAAAGTGTGCCTGATTAGAGTAAGTCCTCTGTTGATGCTTGTGGGAGCAATGAAGCCCCATCTAACTTGAGTGCTCAAATGTCCTCTGCCTATTTCTGATTTCTTTTAACATTGTGAAATACACATAATACTCACCATTTTAGCCATTCTAAGTATGTAATTTAGTTGCATTAAGTGCATTTGTGTTGTTTCACAGTCTTTCTCCAAGCCATCCATCTCAGACTTTTTCATCTTCCCCAGCTGAAACTCTGTACCCAATTAAATACAGATTCTGCATTGTAACTTCCTACCATGCTGGGTAACCGCAAGTTTTCCCCTCTCTATGAATTTGATCTCTCTAGGAAGCTTACAGAAATGGAGTCATGAGTATTTGTCTTTTTATGTGTTCTGAGTGATGTGCTTTATTGAATGCCAGAGCACACTGCTAGAATCTCTTTTTAAGTTGTATAAACAGAAAGTTGGAGCCAAGTGACTTACTTTGTTTACCTTGCTTTTTGTGCCTTTACAAGTTTAGCTCATCCCTGAAAGCCCAGTGGAGGAAGCATGGATATTATACTGTCTCTTATTTACAGGTTGCTTTGCAAAAATGTCCCCCTTACTCACTTTGGGCCTCTCAAAGTAGTCTGTAGTCTTGAAGGCAGGTTTGTGTCCTTGATGTTCCACCTCTGTAGCCTGTGGGACTTGGACCTTTTAGCCCTTGTTTTTGGTTCTTTCATGTTTACCAGATCCTTTGTGGGATGCACAGTTGTCTTCAGTTCTTACTAATTTCTGTTAAGGAGACTGTAATATTAGAACATTCTATTCAGAGATAACCATTTAGTATAGTAGTTTATAATCTGTCTTCTTTGGGAAGGATTTAAGATGTTCTCAGCGATAATGGGGAGGTTCTTTAGAGGACCGTGGTAGTGTAATGGTAACATGAAGAGAGTGCAGGGAGAGAACCGGGTGAGCGGGTGACCGCAAGATAACTCAGGGCCTCTGTGTAACTAAAGTCTTTCTCTTCTAGTATGGCAAAATGAAAGAGGAAATAGAATTATTGTTGGCATTGATTAATGAGAAGAAGGATGCCATTTAGGAGAAGCAGACACTTTTCTTGTATGAAGAATTAATCTGTTGAACTTTTATATAATATAATATTAATGATGCAGGGAGAAAGTGTTTCACATTTTACAGGTGATGGAGAAACGTTTTTCACCTGCCATTGTAGGACTGGAGAAAAGCCTTAGAAGTACTAGAAAAGCTTTAGTAAAATAGATGTGCATGATTCTGATGGTTTCATTCATTGGAGTTAATTTATCTTTCAAGTGAGGTCCCTCAAACACCAGTTGTCTCATTGAGCTTTTCACCAATGCCAAATAACAACCCATCTAGGAGTAGACCATCTTCTGGACAGGATAGACCAGTGGGATTTTCCAGATTCTGTGGTTATTTTCTGGAGGAGTATATATTTTAGTCTAAAAAGATGGACTGGCTTGTATGAGCTGAATATAGATGTTTACTCTCACTAATTTGTTAAACACGTGCTATGTATATAATGTCACATGAAATTGAGAATTAAAAATCTCTTCAAATTTCTGAGCTTTGACACCCATAGCAAATTTCATTCACCTTGTTTTTTTGTTTAACAATATTCACTCCATCCTGTCCCTGCTATGTGTAGATTTTGGGAGAAGGTACTTTGGGAACATAGTGGTTCATGTGACTTGGCTCTTATCCTGAAGGATCACTTTTCTTTTCCATCTTTCCTTCCCTTCTTCCCCTCCTCCATTTTTTCATTCTTTTTCCCCCCTTACAAATCATGCAATGGAGACAGTTCTGTGAATATAATTGAAAAGAAGAAAAAATAGTGATCAGAAAAAAAAAAAGGCTACTTTCCTGCTTTCCTAAGGCACTGCCCATTAACACGTAGTTCTGTGGTGTAAGTAAGTGGCTAAAAGGCCACCATGAGGCATTCAGTGAAGACTGCCATGTGTCTTTTACTAGAAATGAGGCATGACCAGCTTACGGGGGCTGCAGTTTTGTTTTTTGAGGCCTGTAGTGACGTAAAATTTTCTTGGCTACCTTAATAAAAGGTTTATAGAATAGTAAGGATTGAGTACCTCATGCGTCTTCATTTCTAGATACAGTGTTTGATCTATAGACTGTTCAGTTTTGTTGAGTGAGGATATTAGTTTATGTAATACTTTTTGAAGATTAGAAGCTAAAATAGTTTTGTGGGGAGTAATATTGCTTGAATATTATGTGTTTTTAAAAGATGGTTACTTTTTATTTTGGACAGATCACAATACTTACTCTCCTTTTGCAGATCCCATTTGTGTAATAGCGACTTAGGCAGAAAGAAGTGATAAGAATTGCGGTACTGTTGGAGTTTCATTGGTATTTTGTGTGTACTTTATCATTGTTAAAGTGGGCTAACCTAGGATTGTTTTGTTTCAAGGGATAGCTTAGAGTATGCAATAAAGTAGAGATTTTAAAAACAATCTAATCTTGGGGATTAGGAAATTGAACAAAGTCAGTTAACGAGTTCAGAATTTTAAGAAATGTACTTGAATAGTGCAGGAAGAATCTTAGTTTAAGAATTGATCTTGAAATGATGTTAAAAGGTTCTTTAATTAAGGAGTTAGAACAATAAGCTTAGTCGAAGAGGAAGAGAAAGGCAGTAGACTTTCCTAATACACTTGGAGATATTTTGAGATTCCTGTGTTTCAGCCCAGTTCTGCCATGTAACTTGTGCTTGATAATATTTGGATAATACTATTTTTCTTCAAATATGTGTTTCAGAGAAAATTTTGTATATTCTTATGTAATTAGATGTAGCTATTCCCAAAATCACTAATATTGATAAGCATGTCCAGTTTTATGACAGAAGGTAAAAAGAGCTTGTACTTGTATTTTATGAACAACTTTTCTATGAGACTTTTGGTTAAGTCCTTTAAGTTGGATCTTTATAATGGTGATACCAAGTGTGATAGTTCCTTAAGCATCTCCAGGTTTCTCTGAATACCGTATTTATCTGTTATACATGAGTAAAGTCATTACCTCAGAATACTTCAAACCAATCTGATTAATGTAGACCAGTAATTCTTAGAAATTGGAGATTCTTGCAGAAAAAATGAATCTTAAACCT